CCCCCCCCCCCAAAAAAAACAGTATTAACATATTTCCTGATAACTTTATTATACTTACACTCTCTGAGCAAGTCTGATAGGTGTAGAAATATTGGACTTGGCACCACTTTAAATGCATAGTTAACAAACTGTATCATGCTCAGCATCAGTGTGTTCAGTCTAGCAAAGCTTATCATGTTGTTGAGGAGAAAAAGGGGGAAAGAATCCTGCTAATTCCCAGTTTAGTTGGAAGATCATTATTTTAAGTTGTCAGAATGTTCTTGAACTTCTGTCTTGACCTAGATCAGATCTATAACCACTTCATTACATTATAGTGCTGGATGGTCATTGCTTTTTGGGGGAAGGGGATGTAAACATTTTTCACAGAATAATGCTACAGAGATTCCCCAACCTCAGTGCGCATTGGATTAGGCTGCATTTTAGCTTCATAATATTGCCCTAAATGTTCTTCTGATGCTGCTGAACTGCAAATTCCCACAATCCCACATTACTCACTATACTACCTGGGACTGATAGAAATGGTTGTTTAATATAGAGGAAGCCAAAGATGGCAATTCCCTAAATAGTTGTAAAGGTATTTAAAAGGCAAAACAGATTCAGATATTTGTTCCCATTATCACATAGTCTATCTCTGGCAATGTAGTAACTTAAGATGCATCTAGGCAGATGACAGCACTTACCTGATCTTACCTAGGCTCAGTCTAGGCTAGACTGGGAAGTTGAAAAGAGCATCCTGGTACTGGATGTCCTGTATCATGCCAAGGAAACTTTGTGGACATGAAGTCATCAGGAATCAAACTTGACTTTAAGACGACTTCATCTTCTAACCCAACAGGCATATATTTAAGTTTGTGGATGGGATGGCTAATGAGTTGCTGTGATGCAATCAAACATTCAAATTTCCTCAGCCCAGGTTGCTAACTCTGTCATGTTAAAAAAAAAACTCTAAGTGGTGGAAAACCTATCGTAGAACTTTCAGTATTCAGCCTTGATATTAAACCGACCACTTAACAGATCTCAGGTTAAATTACCTGATACAAATGTGAGTCATATTTTTACAAATACAGATCTCTTATAATTTATACTGACAGGGAAAGACAAAAACAAAAAGCAAAAATCCAAACCTGCTTTACATTTGTTCTTTTTATTAGAAGTTAAGAATACAACAAGTAATGGGATCCCATTGGCTGGAGACCCCCAATCTTCAAAATCCAAGATGTGCTTTGTTGCCTCCAACAGTGAGCAATTAGAAATGAAAAGAAAATACTGAACAAGGCCACTAGTTAATGGGGGGAGGGGGGAGCTGTATATCTCAACTACGCTATGCTGAACCCTGCACACACATCAAAAGCAAGCAAACCTCCAGTTGCTGAGAGTAAGGCATTCAGGTGCCAACCTGGGAGGGTCTCAGCAAGCACCACAGAAAAAGTGCACAGCTATGCAGTTTCATATTGGGACACAAAATATCTTCAACCAGAAGATCGGGAGTAAGAACAGCAAAATGGTGCGTTGTATTCTGTACAGGTTCTGTGCTATTAGACTGGATTGCAAGTGCCACAGTCCGAGGGAGCATGGGATGATCCAGAGTAAGGAGATGTATTCCCTGCTGGTAAATTCAGAGATACACCTCTAAAAGTGCTTCTCAAACAGGTAAGTCTGGGTGTGATATGTATTACCACTTCTCCACCTTAGGTAAACTATCCTTTCGCCAGCTGCTAAAACTCCAAAGTTTATCATAACTGGTCTCCCAGTTCTGTTGAAGGGGTTAATACTGTTCTGATTTCAGTTTGGGATCAACACACTGAAATACGTTAGACTGCCGGTTTCATCTATATGTATTTAGCATCATGATCCTATCCAGAACACACAGATTTGAATTTGCCTACAAGAACCAGTTAAGCACCTCTTGCAGATTTAAATACTTAGAGGAATCCATTTCAGAAGAATCGCTAAGGGGAAAGAGGATATCTGTAGATCAAGGACTTCTTCATAAAAATCTAACATTTTTAAAATGTGACCAATTATGCTGCCCCACAATAAATCCTTGGTAACTCACTATGAGCCAAATTAATTATCCTTATAATGAGATAAATGGCTAAATGTATTAATTCTGCCTTTTGCTCAGATGTTTCTGCCTTTTGCTCAGATGTTTCTGCCTTTTGCTCAGATGTTTCTTTCTAGGTTTAATACAGCTCACCAGCAATAACTATAGTTCTCTCACTTGTCATACGGAGTGTTTTGCTGTGTCATAACTCTCTTCTTCAAATGCTCCTGCCTCATACAATTAAACTGAAAGCATTTGAAACCGCTCACAACTTTCCCTCGGCACAAAGCACTAACAGCAGAGGAAAACCACTGCACCCAGTCTATCCTGTGGTTTGTTTGCTATTTACTTATTAAAAATAGTGCACAGTATTGTCCTATACCCCAGGAGAAAGAGAAAAAGAATGGCAGTGTTACTATTGCAGCCAGTAGAGTTCAGTGAATTTAATACAGACAACTGTGGTGTTACTGTAACTCAGCAACACACAAAAATAATCCAGAATGGATTAACATTTAGACAGCCAGTCCTCTTCTTAGAAAAACAAAAACAAAGTTGTTTTCTTGTGAGTACTTCCCATCCCCTTGAGACCATTCCCCCCAGGCCAAATCACCTAGAAGGTTGGTACCCAACATTAACAATTGCACTTGGATAAACAAGACAGCACACCCAACTGAATGGTGAAACACTGATGAGAGACCCCAAAAGGTCAGGATATATGCCACATTGTGCCTTAAGCCATCAAATCCCAATGTAGCAAAAGGCTAATGAAGGAATCTAAAAACCCACCCCAGAAGAGAGCTTAGAAGGCGTGACCCACCAAGAGGGCAGACCTTGATGGCCTCTTTCCTTAGCCTTCTGAACAGGCTGATCAGTAAGCACTTCTTTGCTCTCAACCCTTGTGGGCAGCAGACTGCGACCACGGGATTGAGCCGACCAGTATACACCAGAATTAGGAAGAATCTGCAGGATCCAGATGCCTGACTGCAGGAGTTTCACCTAGCTTTCTTGCACTTAAAGAATTTGTGCAAAATAGAAACAGTGTGTGGTACTTGCATGTTGCAACCAATACAAAATCCATCTCCCTCCCCCCTTTTAAAACATTTATAGAAACTTTTTAATTAAACAGAAAGTTAGAAATCTTATTTACATTTTTTTCTCCCAAAAGGGCATCTAAAAATCAACTTACCTGAACAAGATACAAATCTTAATTAAGCTAGATTTAAAAAAAGAAAAGAAAAGAAAAAATTGCCAAGCCACTTCCCCAAGATAACCTCTCTTATTTTCTACAAATAAATATGGCATTGAACATAAGATGATTAAGAAAGGGTTTTCTGTAGCTTCAGTTGTAGATCCCAGGAATAAGTTAAGGTTTAAGAATGTCCACATCTTCAGAACCAATTCACTCCAATGTTTGAGGTATGAATTTTTCTCCCATTTTATACTTAAGATTCCCTGCAAAGCTTCCACACTGTTGTAGGCAAAGTGTGGATTGACTGCTCCCATGGTTCGGTTTTGGTTATGATCCTCAGCATGGGACCATTTTTACTGCATCTCGTTCTCTGTGCAGCCTCCCCCAAGCGTGAAGCGGAACTCTTGAAGGTTTGAAACGCCATGGAAGTGCACAAAAGCACCAGCCACTACGAAAACGTGAAAGAGTTGATGGGAGTGGAACTACAAGAGAGGGGAAAAAACAACCACATGCACACATTACTATTAGAAAACGAAATACTTTTCAGAACAAGCACCAAATGACAACAGCAGTCTTGCAGGCTTTCAGAAAGGGGACTAGCCTGCTAAGGGACAAACTATTACTTTGCTGGGAAACTCTCTCTTGTCCCATGCTTTCAGGCTTGGCAAGCACCAAGTGGCAATTTGCACCTATTCAAGGCATAAGATGACAGTGACATATGTAGTCTGAACAGCTATTTCAAAAAGCTGTATTTCTATAGCAACGCACCACTAACTCTGATAATGCACACAGTGATAGTTCAAGTGTTTTTCGTTTGTTTGTTTGTTTAATTTCTGGAAAGCCAATTAATTTGTTGGGTGCTGTGGCTTTTAACTGCCCAATCAGCCTCTGTTTTTACCCCAGGCATTTCTAGAACTGCATTATAGCTTCAAATATGAATGAATGAATGAATGAATGAATGAATGAATGAATGAATGAATGAATGAATTTCCCCTCTCACCCGTATGGGTGGTACGTGTCTTCCTCAACCTCGGGTCCTCTACCAGAGGCCTGGGAGTTGGAGGGTTCTGCGCAAGATCTGAGCTGCTCCTAGCATTGCACTCTTCTGGACAGAGGGCTCTGGGGTTGCTCCTGGGATCTGTTGGAGCCACTCTCCCAGCTTAGGAGTCACAGCCCCAAGTGCTCCTACCACCACTGGGACCACTTTGGCCTTTCTTTCTTTCTTTCTTTCTTTCTTTCTTTCTTTCTTTCTTTCTTTCTTTCTT